ATGAAGTAAAATAAAATGACGCGAAGATAGAAACCACTTCTCGTTTTAATTGTGATTCATCTCTTTATTAGCTATATTTGTTACGAAGAAACCATATACTTTAAAATGTATATATATATAACTATAGTCACACACACACACAAACACACACACACACACACATATATATGTACCCATGTGTTTTTTGGCCTCATATATACATATAGCAATTCGTTTGGCAACTCTAAGGTACTTTGTTCGAATTTTTCATTTCCAGATGAAGTAAAATAAAATGCCGCGAAGATAGAAACCACTTCTCGTTTTAATTGTGATTCATTTCTTTAGTTACCCATGTGTTTTTTGGCCCTATGATGAGAGCCCGCACCATGTACCTAAAATTCGAGAGGCCCCGTGTCACGGTGGGATCTAACCCTTGACCTGAGGGGACTTGCAGTGATCTCACCACTATGCCAAGGGTGTCGGCGCGCACACACATATATATATATATGCATGTGTGTGTAGATTTTTGTTTCAAGAGGCAGTTAATGGATTGACGTCAAACAATTTTACATCATAAAGGAATGTCTAAGCAATGTTTCTTCTGCCGTAAGCAGGAATTTCTTCGCCAAATTCCAAGGACAAGAATCCAACTTCGACGCACTAGCTCTTATGAAACCAGCGAATACAAATTTCATCTCTAAAATTGATCATCATGCCAATCAGTTACGTGATGAAGCATTCAAAACAATAAAGGAGGTGGCTTTTCTCCAGCAGTCTTCGGCCGAATTCAATTCATGAACAACTGCAGTTTTCTTTGTTAGTTTGTTTCATATATGTTTATTTGCTTTTATTTAAGAAAATTTAATTTTCTAATGTTAGTCTGACTACGCCCTTATCAAGTTTATAGAACCGCTAATTTCTGCTATGTTTTTTTATCCTTCGTTAATCTTACAGTAAGTGTATACTATGTGAAAATCTTGCTGCAAGCTCAATAGATTTTTATATTGACTAATTTAGTTATATTATTGTAACTTGAAAATG